AGACTAAATTTTTAATCTGACAGTTTCGCGGCTTTTAAACTTTTAAAGCTATACTTCTATCAAGTTTTTCATCAAGCACCAAGGAAGTAAGTACTTTCTTGGCGCTTTTTAAATAAATTTTAAATATTTTACTAAAGTAGCCATCGCTTTTTGGTGCAGCAAATATCTTAATAAATTGTTTAATGTAGGGAAATAATTGAAGAGCTTCGTACTAAAAGTACTTGAGTCACAAAATAAATGTTTTAAGAAAATCTACTTTGGTCAGTCATTTTAAATCCTTATTTTAAAGTGTTGATCAGAGAATCAAATTATATTTTCTCATAATATTTATTTTTTGACATAAGTACTTTTAGCACTAAGCTCTTCAATTCTAACTTTCAAAAGTCTTTTTAATATAACTTTTTTTTTGTTGATTACATATATATACAAAGCTTAAGAATTATTTTGAACACTTAGTTTATGGTCCGCTATTTTAACATACTAAATAATGATAAATAAATTTTTTTTTGCAAAAATCCATTGGAAAATCCAATTTTATTAAATCCGGGGTAGAATCTATCGTTATATGTAAAATTCGAGAAGCTAATTGTAAATTACTTTTGTTTTTAATTTTTACAGGAAAATAGGAGGTAACTCATTTTTCAGTATTTAACCAGTTTCAGTAATTGAATTAAATTTGCGAAAATCCGGTTTGAATCGGGTCTGGCAATTTGCTTAAATCTGGTGGAGTAATAATCATTACGAAAAAATAATTTAATGATTAAATATTACTTACATAATAAATATAAATTCTAGAAGCCAGTTGAAATATAATTTTGTTATGTATTTTTAAAGAAAAATATGATTCAATTCACTATTATCGTTTCATTAATTGATTTAAATGCATTTTTAATTATTCTAACTACTCTTAAAAAATGCCATAATTCAGTTTTTGTTGCTGCGTCTAAAAGCTAACCCAGTTAACCAGCGCAACTGGATCCCTCTGGAACCCAACTGGGGAAAATGCTATGACCCATATAGGTATCCCACCTGGGTCCCACCGTAATTTTGTCAGCGGGATTCAACTGAGTCCCACCTGGGACTAGTCTGGGTTTTTAATAAATATCTAGTTAAAAAAAAAAAGAATTAAAACAAGGGAAATGGGCATTAGAATTTAAAACAAAAAGTTCTTTTAAACACTATGTTTCCGTTGAACAAATTATGTTTGAAAAATATTTGTTTTTTTAGAAGAAGTTTTTATTGGAGGAAATTTTTTTGAGACTTCGAATAGTTTTTGTGGATGACATTAAAATAATCACTACCCGAGAAAAAAAAACCCGCTAATACTACTAGGAATATGTCTAACTTCCTGCTAATCCTTTTAAGTTCCTGCTAATACGGCTAATCCTGGTAAGTTTTCGCTTAATACGGCTAAACCTATTAAGTTTCCCATTGGTGAAATGACGTTTATGAATTTCCTGCTAATCCTAGTAAGTTCCTACTAAGTACTTATCAGGATTAAACGAATTACTTAGTAAGTTCCTAGTAAGTTTTCAAATATAAAACAAGTATAAAAAATCGTCTTTGTTATACGCCATCTTTTATTTATTCACACGGAAGACAAGTCAGCCATAAAACAGCTTTTTTAGATTCAATAGTTTTACTAGTTAATTTTTGTAATTCTATAAGGAAAAAGCTCAAGAACATCTGGGGATGATTGCGTGGTTTGCGGTTTATTTGATGAATATTTGTTAATGTGTTATAATGTGGTTTTAAATGTTAGTTTTAACTCTATATAAATTCGAGCACTTTCTGTTGTATCAATTCGAGCATTTTCTGATTCATAGTGATATGTATGGTGATGTGTTTTTTAAATTATATTTTATTTTTGTTTCTGATTTTTTTATTTTCATTGTTTATGATTTTATATTGTTTAATAAACATAAAATCATAAAGCATAAACAATTATATTGTCACTCTTTCTTTTTACTATTTCTTTTTACTAAAAAGAGTAAGTGACTTATCTTTATTAATAAAGACTTGTAACTTTTTTTTAGTAAAAAGACTTATTTTTAATTTTCTTAAAATTTTATTTGTAATTTTATTTAAAAAGACAAATTTTTATGTCAAAAAACCACTCACTTCAAGCTAAGTCTGACTAAAAGTTTTACAAGTCTGACTAAAAGTTTTAGT